TACATAGCATAATGATTTCTAATTTTGACTTTTAAATTTTATTTATTTTTATTTCCCTATGTAAAACCACAAAACTCTGACTTTCCTCTTAAAATAAGGCAATGAGTAAGGACAGCAGAGGGAAATGTATCTATAATTAGTTCCAAGTCATGCAGCTTCCCACAGACTTTCATAGGAAGGTCTGTGGTTTGGCTTTTATATTTTTCCCTAATTGACTTTAGGATAATTTTAGAGATTTTTTTGAAAACAGGCTTCTGTTTTCAAAATTTTTAAATTCTATTTTTATATATGCTTTTGCATAATAAAAACTAGCTTTGCTGACCTCCCCTTCCATGATTCAGGTTAAAAAGAGTAATTGAAAGTTAGCTTCAACAATGAATTCTTTAAACAAATTTAATGAAAATCAAATTAAAATTTTTAGTTTAATAACATTTATAGTTTGACTGCTCTGAGCCCATGTTTGTGCAGATCCCAGTATTGCAGGGATTCTCAGTCCTTGAGTTGCTGAGCCAGGGGACACAGGTCCCAGTTCTGCAGGGACTGTCAAGAATTCATCCACTAGGTTCCAAGGAAGCATGGTCAGAGGAGAAGCAAGTTGGCCTCACGCATACCCTAGGAAGCTTTGTGGGAAGCTCTTTGAAGTCTGATTTGCCCAGATGAGTTTGCTAGGTAGAGTAAAGGGGAGGAGAATCTGGAGGAGGGATCCTCAGAGCCAATGCATAAACATAGCAGGTAAATGGATCAGAGATGGTGGGAAATCAGGAAGATATGAGAATAGAAGTAGTGGCAGAGCAAGTTTATGTTCTGATTTCTCCCTTTGTGTGTGTGTGTGTGTGTGTTGAGTTAAAGGTCAAAGTTAGAATTGTGGGTGTTCTCTTGCACACCAGTCAGTGGGTTAGTAGTGAGATTAGGAGGGGATACCACCTGTATCCTCTGTCCAACATGCAACTTTAAACATGGGTCCCAATCCACATTTTGTAGTTCAATTGCATGTTCAAGTTGAGTGCTAAGTGAAAAAGAGACAATATGACAACTTGGGGATACTGAAGAGAAAAAAAATAAACCCACAGTTTTGCTAGAATATAGTCATCCATGTCCCTGGGCTTTGAGGTTGCCTCATGGTTACATGGTTACATCCACCTGTCTTTGCTCCTGGATCTTGTAAACAGGTTATTTTGGAGATTTGGGGGAGTGTGAGGTAGATGATAGGCTGGTCTAATATCAGAAGATTGGCGTTAACTATGTGTTTTGCTCACCTAATTTTGGGAGGCAAGCAAAATGTAGACAAATACTATTTCTACACATTTTTTTAAAAAGTGTTGAGGAATGTAAGTTCCAGGGAAAATCAGTCTTATTTTTGTTTCTTCATCTGCAGTTTGTACACCTATGGAAAGGGCAGGCTGTCTTTTGGGGTTTCAAGGTATAAAGTTCTGGCAGTAGTTTTGTGATCATGCCAATTGCCAATTAGAAAAAATAGCTCCCATTCTGTCCTGAATGCCAAGAAGATATCAGTTTCTAAACTGCATGTCAGTGTTTGATATTTATTGGATAAAACATCTGTCCTAATTCTTCAGTTTCCTGGCTCCTGTTGTAGTTTTACTTACAGGGGATTTTCCTTGATCCTTCCTTTAGCATTAATTTTTCTTTGGCTTGAATTTCAGAGGCTACACTGAGTCCTTCAGATAAATTTTCAGGGAACTATTTGGAATAGGCCCTTAGTTATTTGTCCCATCTATTATTAAGAAATCTTCAAAAATAAGTTTTTTTAAAAAGCTGAAAACCCTGTGTTTTGTCAAAGAATGAAACTGCATTACCCTGTACAGTTCAGTTACCCAGTGATTCATATATTCATCATAAGGGTCTGTATTTGTCATTACTTAAAAGAACACATACACACCTCCTTTTTGGAGCTTGTGGATGAATTATATGGGTACCCCATCAGTAATTTTCTTTTTTGATTTTTTTTTCCTTAAAAATTTAAATTTTAGCCCAAAGGAAAGAATCATGTATATATTGTACTTTCTGAGACATTGTACTTTTCTTTAAGATTCTATAATCATTCTATCAGAAGAAAATAATTAGGGAAAAAATGGTCTGACCCAGAGAAATGTGTGAGGACCAAGTCCCAGAAAGAGCAATCAGGGAGAAAAATGGCTACTTAATACAGGAATATTCATAGTGCTTCATTGAGTCTGGAATGGAATGTAAGATAAAGCAAATAGAGTTGGGTAGAGAAAGATGAATCATTTTGAGAACTAGGTTCATAGTATTCATTAAGGCTGGACATTAACTCCATTGTCCTGGCTTCCCTATAAAGTTCTGGGCTCCAAATTGAGCAGAATCTTTCTTTTGGAAACAGTGTATATAAATGTATATGAATCACTGTGAACACAGTGTCATCATAAATTTAAATCATGTGGTTTCCCAATATTGGATGGTTTCCTAGATCAGAGAAAAATAGAGCAAAATGGTGAGCTAGTGTTATCCTCAGGAGAGTCGATTGTGCACCGCTTAGTTAGCAGTCAGAAAATAGGAGGGATACAAAGGCTTTAATTGTATAGACAGAGTTTGTTGTTATTTGATCCTGCTGTACTGTAGTTTACCTTTGAAAGATATGAATAAAAGCATTTCCCAAGTAAATTGGTAGTAAATTTGAATTTAGAGGTCTAGGATGCAGGAACATTCTCATATTTTCCATAAATTCCTTAATACCCACGGATTGCATTTGGTTCTCCTTTCTAATCAGTAAGTGTTCAGTTTTCTAGATGCAAGTGCTTCTAAGAATGTGAAAGTAATAAAATATATTTACTAACACACCCTTTACTTTTACATTATATCCATTTCAGTCTGTCTACTTGGGATTATGTATCCTGTCTGCCACTTTTCTATCACTTCCCTGATTTGTCACACTTCATAGAGACTTCAACACATTGAAAAGACCATCTGTATAAACCAGTACACACACACACACACACACACACACACACAGTAGATTTATCTTTAGAGTATAAATTGATGATTATTTCTAATATTTTTTGGTAAGTAAGCTTCAGCAAAGTATTACAAATGAGTAATAATTTCAAGGAGAGGTGTTAGAAACCATACATGGTTTATGCAAACAATGTTAAAAAATGTTCTAAAATAGAACATTTACACCATCTTAATGAAGAATGTCATAATGTATCAAGTAGAAAAAAAATCACTAGATCTTTAATTTAAGGACTTCTGTCACTATATGTGCAGATGTTTTTAAACCATACAATTATATTTAAACCCACAATTCTTAATTTTTTCATGCCAGGGGCTAAATGACTTGTTCCCTTTCTGAAACTTTCTGTTTTAGCATTTGTAACATCATGCAGTTCAGTTATATTTCTTTAGACGTGGAATTTCCTGCATCTGATCTTGGCTTTCGAGGCCAAATAGTTTACATGGAATAATCCTGGGCTCCAGAACTAGACAGGCTTGCCTTGGATCCAGCACTGCTGTGTCATTGCCTGTGTGACCATGGGTGACTTATTGGCCTTTCTGAGCTCTGGCTTTCTCTCTTCCACATGAACATAATACCGATTTGTCTTGCGAGCAAGCTGTATGAATTAAATGAGATCACATATGTAAAGTGCCTAGATTAATAATTAACAACCATTTTCCTAAACTCATTCATATGGCTGGCTTCCTGATTGTTTTCTGTATTAAAACAAAGCTTGATTAATGCTTGATTTCCCCAAATTCTCTTCTCATGAGCCACATGTACATTCATAGGCAAGATTTGCTAGAGTCTGTAGAAAGAAACTTGACTCTTCTCAGCACTATGTATGTGCATAGCTTCAATTTTTTACTACAATTATTATTATTATTGGTGCTGGGGATTGATAAGTATAATAGTTTTTACTTCTCTACATACCTTTAAGACTCTGTTCAGAATCCCCCATGTTACCATTACTTGGAAAGTTTTCTTGACATACTGTTTACCCTGTGCCCTTAAAAAGTCATGTTTTGTGCATTTACAATATGTTCTCAAGTTATTTTCTTCTATCTAACTTCCTCTTGCCTCCTGCCTTTGACATATGCCTTCATTCTGCTACTACTAATCATAGTACTTCCTTACTTCGATTCTCCAAATGCCTCCCTTTCTTCCAGTATACACAGAAAAAGACCTGTGTCAGTGCTCCTGCCAAGATCATGGCAGGTGTTAAACCTTGTCTGTCTGTTGGGGCAGGACTGAAGGAAGAGTTCTAGCTTCCAGATGAGCTCCTTGGTCACCCATGTCTAGACATCAGTTCTCCTAAAAAGTGGTCTTTTGGGAGAATGTACTGGTCTGCTGTACAACAGGCCAAAGAAAAATCTGACTCTGGTAAAAATGGGCAGATTACATTGCAATCGGTAGAGGTAGAGAGCACCATTTCTTAAAAATAATTGGTCTTGATTTGAAAACAAGTATCTCAGATTTCATTTTTCCCTCTCCATTCTACATGTCTTGTCCCATAGGAGAAGAGAAATAAGTCGCAACAGGTCATAGATTCTGCACCAGGTCATAGATTCTGCAGAAGGAGGGTCGTTAAATAGAGGAAACATTATATCTATGAAGCTGGGTGGATTTAAAACATTTTTGCTCAGGTAGATAGTTTTCTTCAGTTTGTGCATTGTTCAGTTGCCATATTCCGATTCAGATAGTGTCTACTGACTCCAAACTACAACTTCAGAGGCAGGTATTGTTCTGTTTGTTATGTCCATACAATAGCTCTGTGACATAAAAATTATCATCCATTAGTGGGTAAGGCAACATGGAGGCCCAAAGAGGTTAAATTGAACTGTGGCCACACATTTGTTAAATGATCCCTTCTCTTTGAATCTAGATAACTTTTCTTTTTTACTGTGCTATTTTGCTTTATTTTAAGTATCCATTTTCAATTGGAGAAAAAGCTCCAAGTGAGTTAATTACAGTGGAGGTAAAAAAAGGAATTCAAATTAGTAATATCATTATCTCTCTCTGTTTCTAGTTTGTGCGAAGCAGGTACCCGATGAAGCATCTTCCACTCGAGATTCAAGCCTCACGAACACAGCAGTGCAGGGCAAGCTAGTGTCTTCCTTTCAGCAGCACACCAAAAAGGCACTCAAGCAGGTAAGAGAGCTGCCATCTGTCCTCTTCCTTCCGTTCTGCCTACCTAAGGTAATGTGTTCTGCTGATCAGGTAAAATAAATAAGAACCAAACCATCAGAAAGCAACAAACATTCTGAGTTCAACTTCTTGCATAATATTTAATATAATCATTTTAGTCCACACTAAAAAGTTAGGGGAGGCTTGGCTGAGGACTCAAATCTGACATAGAGGAGGAATGTTCTTGGAAACACACAAAAAAAACTTGTGTTAAGATTTTTGTTGGTGTGTGTAAACCAGTTGGTTTCATATAAACCAGTTGGGTTCATAAATATATTGCATAATTTGAAAATAATATCTCTATGATCTCATTGTGCTTATCTGATAGTTATATAAAAATAAATGATAATTTTCTTTTTCATTTTTGAGTTACAAATATCTACCTACATCTAGAATATCTATCAATATGCGGTGTTGGATGCTGTATGAAGTTATATGGTCTCATGCTAATGTCACATGTGCTTTGTGTTGAGGTGGTGGTGAGAGGTAACAGTTTTAAGGTTGGTTCTGAGCACTGATACACCTCAGTTGGATCATTGTTACCCGCTCTGTGAATCTAGATAAGCTGCTTTTCCTCTCTGATTCTCAAAGGCATTCTCTAGAAAATGTGGACATGATAGTATACGGGGTTGATCTGAGAGTTAACTGGGGTGATGCATTGGAAGCACATGGACATGTCTGGGCCATACTGATCACTCAGGAAGCCTTAGCTACTGCTGTCACTCCAGCAAGTGCTGAATTGTTTGAAGAAAAAGAAGAGATGTTGTGGTTAGATGGGACCATCACATGAGGATTATATTAATCATCCTAGCAGTGAGTGGAAGGTCTATGTAACTGAACCCAAGTTCCTTCTGTGCCCTTGTTCAATTGCTTTCCTCTTACAACTTCCTTTCGATCAGAATTCTGTCCCAATATCCCGTAATCTGTTCACTCTAACCAGGACATAAATAAAGATATCATTCTGGTAATATGAGTAAAGAAAGAGAAACCATGTATTCTAAAATAAAGCTAATTAAAGAAACAAGCCTCACCAACCTCTAAAACTTCTTAATGCTCACACCCAACCTCTTAGACTTGGAATGTCCTCACTTCCTCACTTGAATCAAAGTGTGAAATATGATATATCAAGAACTATGTAATGTTTTGAACAACCAACAATAAAAAAAATTAAAAAAATAAATAAATAAAATAAAATAAAAGATGTTATGTCCACCGAAAACTGAAAAATAAATATTTAAAAAAAATAAAAGATTTTTGGAGAGAAGTATATTACCTTTCATTCTGAATTAACTATTGAAATTGCAACATTCCCATTCTTAATATTATCTTTTAGGTAATAATAGTATTTCATCCTGCACAGATCTTTGGGACAGCTTTCCATTAATATTATGGCTTTTTTTTGGTTTTTGTGTTTTTCAAATAAGCTGTAGTTGGACACAATGCCTTTATTTTATTTATTTATGTGGTGCTGAGAATTGAACCCAGGGTCTCACACATGCTAGGCAAGTGCTTTACTGCTGAGCCACAACCCCAGCCCCTCATGGCTTTTTTGGGAACATTTTAGAGACCAGAGAACAAAACTATAATTACTGTTGAAATTAATTGGTGGAATAAAGGATGAAGTAGATAGGGAAATCTGAGCAAAAGCTTATTCAGGTGGCAAATAAGATGTAGGTAATAAAATAGCAAGCAGGATGGAGCAAAGATACAAAACTGGATACTTGTATCATGACATATAAGAAACAGGAACGGGAATGGAATGGGAACATAAATGAAACTCACACTTGTGAAGTGCAGTGATTTGGAAAATGTACACACCGTGAAATCTTCTAGTATGTGGATGGGAAAATGAAGATTCAAGTCTGTACTGTTATGTATCATTATTTTTTATTTTCTTTGTTTCAGTTTTATATTATTTGAACATTTTTTATAAGTCCTAAAGTGTTATACAACTTTAGGTTAGCAGTGTTTTGTTTTGTTACAGAGCATGTTTATGAGAAGGGCCACTTGCTTGCTTGTCCTGTAAGCTTCTTGATGCCCTAGAAAAGTTATTTATTCATTTCTTAAAACTTCTATTTTATAACCAAGTAGCAAATTAGCAAGAGAATATGCCTCAATACGTAGCAGATATGCTAATGTTTGATTAATAATCAAATTCATATTGGAAATACATTTAGAAGAAAAGCTGTCCTTGCAGAATTTTGCCCAGATTCCCTGTAATTGCTGAATTTTTTAAGACAGCATTTCAAAAATTGACTGAACATATGTCATTTTAACTTGTAACAGCCACAGCAAGATTGCAGCTTTCTTTTCTTTCAGATAGTCGAATGACTGTGACCATCTATAATATTTTGTAAAATGTGTTATACAAATATATACATATATGTCAATATGCATGCTTTGTGCTTAGGAATATATATTTTGTGTGTATGTATATAAGCACAAGTCATTATCACACAAACTTCATTAGTTGAATGACCTTAATGATAATTACATTAGCTGATGATTTCATTATGCCTTTATTTTTGCATGTACACTTAATCCTTATATGAATTCTTTCGAAGTGTGTACTCTTATCCCTGTTTTCCCAATAAAGAAACTAAGGCCAAGAGAAGTTAGATAATTTGTCCCAGATCACCCAGCAGTTGAATATTGGAAATGATATTTGCATCCAGAATTATAGTTTCATATTCTACCCTCTTCACCAGTACTCCCTTTCAGCACATAGAATTTAAGTAGGGCAGATCACGTTTTTGGCACAATTCAAAGAAATGTATATACTTGACTATTTGTATAGCATCAAGACAGCAATATAATATAGTCCTTTAGAATACCATCTCTAAACAGACTGCTCACGTTTAGGACCAGCGTATATTAATAGTCTACGTTCAAATATATAAGTCACTAATATTTTATTAGAAATATATCCTGATTCAATAGGTCTTTAGTTATCCATCTATAGCTTTGCTGATGTAGATTTTTAGAAAAAAGTAGGTGAGAACAAGAACAAAAATCTCTTAAGAACCCAGGAACTTTTAGCATCATAAGTATAGCAAAAAAATAACAACTTAAACCTCCTTGCAAAATAAGCTAGTAATAATTTCCTAGCCCCATAGTCCTTAATCTTCCTCTCACCTAAAGCATGTTAGCAAGTGGGTTCTTTGACATCCCTACATTGTTGATTGCATTGTAGGTACAGGTTGGGCAGCATGCTAATTCTAATGCCCTGACTCTTCACATGGAATATTCTCATTGCTCCCAAACTATTGGTTCCATTTTACTTTCTGATCATCAGAACATTACTTAATACCACATGTTGAGCATAATTCCATGAATATAATACATTGTTATTCCAGTGGGTTTCTTTCTGCATACACATATACAGAAGACTGGAGAGTAGCAGGTTGATTATTACCTTGTTCCCTGTCTTCTTTCCGCTTTGGTATTTTAGATGTCATGATCCTAAAAAAGCATAAAACGGTTAGATTTTGGATTTTAAAGACAGATAATTAAGAAAGATTAAGTTTTGGAAGTTTTTAAGCAAACAAAGAAGATGAAAGAAGGAGGGTTTGCTCTGCCGCAGTGGTGGGGTACAGGTGGATGCCACCTTTCCACGTTGTCTCTGGTGCTTCTTTGCACTTTCTTCACTGTGTATTTAGAGTGGGAGAATTTATTCACAAAATTCCTTCTTGATAATGCAAGGCAGGTAGATTCTTGGTGCTTTGTTTCTTTAGGTTCATATGTTTGACCAGGACTATGAATGCCCAAGGTTTTGGCGAGCCATAGTGGTTATCGAACACGTATGTCAGCACTTAGCATAGTCGCAAGAGTGTGTGTTGTCATACCTGACTCAGCCAGCTGTGTTCTGTGTATGTATCTCTGACTATTTAAGTGTTAGCATTCACAGCGTGTGATGTTTTCAGATTGTCGGTGAGGGCTAATTGCATTCAGTGCATTCTTAAGTCACTTTGTTGATGATGTTTCTCCACTAAAATAAAGCAAGCATTAATTTAAAAATTAATGTTAACACAAAAATTTAACACAAAAATTTCTGATTCCCCATTTTATTTTTCCATTAGAGTAAACACTAGAACTGTTTCTTTTCTTTTTTTCCTCTCTTTCTTTTTTTCCAAATTATCTCATAAGATTTCTGTGTAAAAATGAAATATTTGTTTAAGGGTCTCTCCCCTCCACCTTTTTTTTTTTTAAACAAGAAAACATTGTGGTGTGTTTCTCAAGAGAAGCAGTTTGGTCAGCATCTTTTGATTTCTTTCCTTTCACTTAAAGCCAGAATTGAATTGATGTGTGATATAATCTTTATTTTTCTAGACTGATTTAGCTTCTTATGCTTGTTTCCAGTAATTGTAAAGTTTAATGTACGTTTATTTTCAAGCTTAAGCCTGGAAACCTCTTTCTCATTGAATAATACCTGGAAGTATCAAGCTTGGTAAGTCTAATTATAGTCCTCTTGATAACGTCATGGATACAGAAATTTCACTTTACCTAGTTTGAGCAGTAGAACATTATAATGTGACCAGCTTGAATGGTAGACTGCATTTATACTTGCTGTCTGCTTATGTATTTGGTATAATATTGCTGCTTTCTGGGTTTAAAATGATAGGATATAAAATTGATCAATAAGATAACCATTAGCATAGCAAATTATAACTAAGGCTGTTGGAGGAACCTTGTTGATAATATACCCGTGAAATGAATGTTGGCTGAAATAGTAAGACTGACTATATAATATTGATGTCAAATCCATGTTATAGACTAACGATCAGGCCTACCTGATCAGGCTTGGTGTGGAATAGAAAAGACCCCAGCTCCCAAAGATGGCACAACAAAAAGCAACAAAACCTTCTTTTAAGGTACCCTTATACAGGGCACATCTCCCCAGCTATCTAAAGTAGCCCTTCTAGTCCTATTTTCTTGATCTCTTCTATGGACTTATACTTTTCAGA